GTTTTGATTTGATTTTTTCCTCGTGACCCCTTCCAGCGACATTGACAACCCTTTCCAGCGTACATTGACAAAATATGAAATATGTTATACGGTGCATAAATTTCTTTTAAAGTTTCTAGGATTCCATTTCTAAATGCTATAGTTAGGTGTGTCCATTTGTTAACATTAGCAAACCGAAGGCAGTTGGGTTTATTGTTATTTATGTACATTCGTACACGGACCGCGTGCATTTCGGACGACGGGCCAAAAGTTTATTGGGGAATAAATCTTCGGAATTGCCGTTCTGGTCCATGTTAGGTCCGCGGTCAATGTTGCATGTGCAATAACGTAACCATTAGTAACTCAATAGGACTCCGCAGCAGTGAGAAATGTGTCGCATGCCATAAATTAAAACGTTACGAACAAAATAAATATTTGAATGCTAACTGCGAATAAGGTGTCAACTCCGGCACGTCTCAGGCTACGTTCACACCGCATTCTCCTGCAACCTTTTTAGGGTTCCGTACCCAAAGGGTTAAATGGGACCCTCCGTCCGTCCGTCTATGTTTAATCTAAACCTCCTCCTTTTTGAAGTCGGTTAAAAATCGAATAGAAAATGTGAGTGAGATATTTGAAGTCGGTATTATTTTTTACTCCTTTGTTGATAATTTGCTTTGTTTTGTTCCTGTTCTTGGCTTTGAGACATTGACTTAAGCTCTAAGCCGCAATGTAATTGAAATTTCTAAGGAATTGTCTATAATAACTTCACAAAATATATTTACCCAATTATTGACGGTTCCTTTTAAATAATTTATTTTTCAAGCAATTTAGGATATCATAATTACGACAATCACAGCGGAAAATTTGTAATAGTTACGAATATAGACATGAAACCTTTCGTATGAATGAAATTTAAGGTATGTACATTGCAAGTATCAATCTTGTTATAAATTTGTTATAATTATGAAAATTATAAAAATATGTAGTTCACATTTGGACCGTAATTAAAAAAAAAAAACAATTATATGTTTCTAAAAACTTAATCATCGTTATATTCCTTTTATTAATTTTAAAATTAAAAAGTTTGACAGTATATACAAGTAAAACTCTCAGAGCTCTCGAATCGATTACCAAACTTTTAAACGGTTCGGTAGCAGCACTGTTCAACTAATGGCGTTTTCATTATAAAAGGACGAAAAATACAAAGAACCGCCAATGAACAAAACACATTAATGATTTATTATATTTTTTATATGTACATCCAAGTACCTATTTTGGTAACAATTATAAATAAAAGGACTAGCCTGTCCATTCGTGCAACAGCCGAGGCTGCTGCGTGGCTTTGCAACCGTTAAACCACTACTTTGTAGAAATGATTGCCGCAAAGGTTTGGGAAACGATTAATAATTAACATGTTTTATGTTTATCAATAATAAAGTCGATCACAAAATGTCACAATTTATAAAACTAAAATGATTACTTGCAGCGTAAACAATATACGGTTTTGTCCAGAAATATGGAAATTGGGCGTAATTAATTGAACTGAAAATTTGACGATGTACGTACGTATATTGGCGAACGTTTCGAAATGTTAATTCGAAGTTTCGCATATTTCAATTTGTAATTCGAAAAACCAATACGAGCTTGATTAAACTACCAGTTTACTTTATAATATATAATGTACTATATAATAAATAATGCCTAAGTTTGGCTAGTAATTCCTTACTACAAATAGTATGGTACCTTGGAAAGGGAGGATTTGGGCAAACACACCAAAAGAGTATCCTGTTGGAGGTGTATCTATAAGAGCATGGAGATTACTAGTGGTTTATTTAAAGGTAGGCAGTTACCATGACACCTGTGATAGCCGCTGCACCAGTGTAGTTGTCAACTAGTTACGAATCTTTTACAAAAGTATCTACAATTGAGGGAAAAAAGAAAAAATAAATAAACAGCCTACATATGCCCAACTTCTTGTCGGAGACTATAGTCCATCGCGCAACACCACGGCGGATTGGATTTGGCAGACTTCACATATTTACGAAATAATCTTATCATTATTATAATAATTAATTCGATACCGGACCCAGACACTATGCTCCAGCGAGCTCTGTATTTCTCTGCGTGACAGAGTTTGCAATGAACGCAAGTTCACAATAAAGCTAAGGTAACTGTCATAGCTCAGAGGATTAGTAGGCTGAAGTGACACTGGGCCAGCCATGCAGCTCGAAGAACCGATAACCGATAGGTTCTCAAGTGGCAGAATCGTATTGGCCAAATATAGTGTGGAAGGAACTCATACCAGATGGAGTGACGACCTTTGAGCGGGAAGTTGATGAATGCTTCTTGCCGATCTGTCAGGGAGTCCACTGCTGAATAGAGTCCAGTGAGTAGTGGACCCAAACAGGCTTAAATTATGATGATTTCTAATTGACACTGAGCTATCGCGCCTTGACGGAGGGATTATCATTTTAGTCATACGTCACCAGTGAACCGCACTGTCACGGCTGACTGAGAGATTCGACCAAATCTCACCGGAACTCGTCAGAACGACGCATTGTGGGAACAAAGCGTTCTAGCGGAACCATTTGTCAACGGACGAACGGACGATGAATAAGCTGAAATAGCTTTATCCAAATACATTGTTCGGTTGACAATAACATCACTCACACGGGTCATAGACGATTGTGAGATTTTGGCTGATTGAATGCGCCCACATTTCGTCTAAATGTTATAAAGCACGGCCTTCCTGATACGAAATACAAGATTACATTTTTTGTGTAAATACGTACTGTTAGATGATTTGCTAAGTACTTACTTTAACGTTTTTTAAATATTGTAAATGATGTTTGATAATTTAATTGATTACTTGATATCAACTGTTGGCCACATTAGCAACGGTATTATATTGCTTCAGTATGACTAAAGAATACTTTTTTAATTGAAAAACAACACGCGACAGGTTAACCTAATACTATATGTTATCTATCTCATAGAGAATAGATTCAATTTTATTTTTTTTAATTTTCTAAAACCACTAAAATGAGACACTACTTATTTATACCCATCGCGGGTCAAGGTCGGGGCGTATGTATATAAATATGACCATGCCCTGACCTTGCATTGTACCACGTTTTCATTAGTTTACCTGACTAGTGCAACTTCATCAATCAATAGAAGCGTTGTTAGAAGCCCTGAGATTGGATGAGGAATACGGTGGTACGCGGGGTAGTGTTGTTCCCTAATCAGGGGTTCTCGAGTGCTCCACGCCGGAATTAGGTCGCCCTCGGCAAACACTCCGCTCTTTTGCGGGTGGAATTTTTGAGCTCTGTTTGCACGGGGCCGAAATTTCGCCACGCGCCCGATAACGTCGGCTAATTAGAAATTATAATTGCCGCCGCCCGCGCAAACATTTTCCCGCGCTCGTAACAGGCGTGATTTACTGCGGCCCATGTCGAGAGTTTTGATCGGATGGGATGGTGTTACACTTTTATTTTATGTTAGAAGGTGAGTGTGCTGGCGGTTCACCTGATGCTAAGTGACTACCGCCCATGGACATTTGCAACACCCGTGGGGTTGCAGATGCGCTGCCACCTCTTAATGAAGTGGGCCCCAATTACCTCACTCACCAGGAGAAAGGCAGAAGGATAACTTTTCCACTTTACGCCTGCCTTCTGTGAGAAGGTGTTACTTCCCTGGATGGTTCTGGTCCCATTCGTGCATCAAAGAAGACTGTTGTATGGCCCTACCATCGCTGCGTCACTCACTAGATATCAATATTATTGAACATAATATATTTATTGAAATAGTAGTGGTAGGTACATACCACGTTAACAAGTTTCGAGCATTGCGACTCCATTTCCGCTTGGATCATAAAACATTCAATCTATGATCCAATGAGCAGGAAGTTACGAAATTAGTAATATGATAATATTACGAACCTGTTCAACGGCATCGCTGTAAAACTGTTTCCCTTCTCTTTCCTTTGTCTACTAAGTAACATTTCAAAGTTGATATTTCTTACCCACATGCGGACGTGACATACACTACGTATAGGATGTGATTTGGCAAAGGTTTCTTATAGGCAGTGATTCAGTAGATAGCGTGAGTGGATTGGTACCTAATTCAGTCTTAGCACATTCCAAAAGCTTTATTTTATCCCAACGCGGATCCCGAAGGCCGATCCTCTATTTACGATCAGTGAGGTTATTGAAAATTTGTCTTCTCTCTTCCCATTTACAGAACGATTTTAAGATATGAACGAGTGTAAAAAAAATTACAGATATATTTATACAGATATTAAAACGTAATTAATGTCAATTATGATGACAGTTGAATATCGCTTATAAGTTCTTGACACAAGTACACGGTAAAATATCGATGTTGTTAGAGAGTAGTTGTATTGTGTGTTTATGTTTTATATATATGTGAACAGTTAGTCAATTTCAACTAAATTAGGGTGAAGAGACGTGAGAACTTGTTCGTTATCCTTGGCGGCCTTATCTCTTAGAAGCGATTTTTTCCAGGCAACCATGTTATTGAGGATACAATAATCAGTGAGAAGGGTTTGAGGTATACGCTGTTGTAAATATAGGTATTATAGATACATGTACACAACACCACTATACACAAATAAATGAATAAAATAAATAAATATATATATGAATAAATACATATATACTTATATATACAATATAAACAGAAGGGAACGATAAGTGGGCAAAAGCCATTTAATGGAAATTTATTTTTAAATAAATTATGAGTAAAAAAAGAAAAATCATAATACAGAGATAAAAGTTTAGGGAGGAAAAAGTGATCTTCAACGAGTCTTTTAAATATTGCCAGTGATTGCGCTCGGATTTGAAGCGGTAAGGAGTTCCAAAGCCTGACCGCTTCGACAGAAAAGGTCAAAAAAGGCAACATCAGAGTCACAAATACTTTGTCGGCCTTTGAGGAAGGAACAGGTCTCTATCCCTCTCTAATCTCTTCTGGAAGGTTCCTAAGCGCAGGTTTGGACTCACCGGTTATGTTGAGAACAACTCGTTCTCCATGGGTTGCGACGATTCTCCACTCGCAGCGTTCTTGGGTAGCTGGAGCCGCCTCGGAGCCCCAGCCGGGAGAGTTAAACCAGCCGGAGTTTCCCAGGAACGTCTTACCGCATTCTGTTTGACACACAATCCAGTAACTACATCTTGGAAGATATTTGCTGACTAATACTAAATCACTTTTCGGCAATAAGTCAGTATTTGATCATGTGTATACGATCGTCTTACGATAAAGCTGCGTGTTTGTTTGTGGTTATATATACTTTTCTTTACAACCTATCATTCTCATATAGTTCATGTATAATTAATCGTACATATAATAACAAAAGTGTGTGTATGAAAACAGAAATGCGTATATCTCTTTATGATTATTTGTATTTTTACTGACCAAGGTAGCACAGTTTTTTGGGACAAGATAGTTCACTATAAAGATCCGTCTGCATTTCTGAACTACACATTTCAAAAAACTCAAGTCTTATTTCTAGATTTACGTGTAGCTATCCGCCAATGAACGGCCCATGGTACAGAAGCCTACAGCTTAGAGTGTGTGCACATCGTAAAAGAACTCAAAATTGTACGGATATTCAGGCATAGCTTAATATATTACATTAAAGTCTAGATCAAGACACTTATGTGAGCAAACAATGGAGAATTTCCCTAAATCATCAACATTTATACCATTAAATGTTCTGAGATCAATATTGTGTAATACTTCATTTGTAAGCCGAGACGTTTAACGATGGCCATTACATTTTCCATTGCACGGGACACGCTCGAGACGAGCGCAGCCTAAAATAACGACTAAGGGGACTCAACAAATACATCAGTTACTCACTCGCGCACTTGTATAATAAATTAGTCTGTGCTATATCGCTGGCACTCAGACGCACTCTCTGCCCGATCTCCGGCCTCTTCTTCCCGTGGACCTCCAATGGTAGTATGGTGTCCAAATAGGTGCCTTTGCTGAAGGTGTTCCTAGCGTAGTGCATTATCGAGTCGTAGTCGTACGTCTGCCCCAAAGAGTTGACCTCCTCGTACGTCAGCTTGTTGAAGTTGTACTCTTGACCTGCGGTAAGGAGACTTTCAGTCAGCTCTTAATGTGAAGTCTTGCGTTGCCTGACCTTGGTGACGTCACCAGGAACATTTGAACACGACAGAATTGAAAAGTGCCTGCTTCGATAGCATAAGTGTCATATTATGATACGTATGCTATCGTAACAGGCTCTTTTCAATTTGAAGTGCTAATAAATTGGATATAGTGAAGTGCCAATAGATTTAAGTATCAATAAAATCAATTTGTGAATTATCGTTTGTATTACTTATTTTGTAGTTAGATAGTGTTATCTATTTATATTACGAGTATAATGTGGGTGGAGTATAATCGTATATTTAGAGCTCATGTGTGAAGGATCTAGTACCCAGGTTGGAAATAATAGATGCGACGATGCTACGTGAAAAAAAGTGAAAGAAATAAAGTTGATAGCGCTCTCAACGCCACTAACAATGATAAAATGAAACTCATACGGTTATTACGAATGCGATAACGTATTCAAGTGAGAACCCAATTATGTAGAGAAGGAAATTGTGTTATCCGAATGGATTTGATTATTGTTATTGCACTAGAACCCTTAAGCGAAATAACGGGCATAACAGTAAACATACCCAAGAGCGGTCTTATCGCCGTATTGCTAAATAAGGAAGTGTTAAAGTTTTATTGATACATTAATTACATTGAAGATTCCCGAGGACGGTGTTATTACAGTTTGAAATTGCCGTGCCGCGTGATATCACTAGAACAATTCGGCGCGGCCTAACTCAGGGCATCCGAGGAACCTTAGCAATTCAGATTTCGCCCCGCAACATGTGATTGGGTGAAATTACACTTTCACTTTATAGATTTAAGGTTCGATATCGTGCGAAGCGTCCTCTATAACGGGGTACACGAGTCGAAACTTTGCCCGTGCGGGTTAGAGTGAAATTTCCACTGTCGCGAAATACCATCGCGGAGACGTTTTAAATGCCTGGAATATTGACATGCCCAGTTGGCATTTTCGTAATTTATGTTCCCGGGAGCGCAAGAACAACGGCCCCGCTTGAGGTTCCTATCACTTAGGCAACTTTTGCTTTATGTTCTTCCCGAACTAATAAGTTTTGAGCGCATCTACTCTATCAAACGCGACATATCGCCGTGCGGTTTCCGGATGTATGCGCGGAAATAGTTTCGCTTATACGAGTAATTGCAAACAGACTTAATATAATGCTACTATATTAGGAATCTTTGCGTACGTAATACACGTTTCCTTTACGCTATTGGTTGCCTGGAAGACCTGGCGAGGCTAATTGCATTGTTTTATTGTCACTTTTGTGTATACTTTCATTTGTAGTGGACACTAAATTTTTATTGATTAATTGATTCAATCTCTTATGTAATGCTTTCAATAACGGTACGTGGTTTAATACATAGAATTTAAGGTATATTTTGATTTCCAAAAATATTTCTTCTAAATACCCTAAGGGTACAACGGAACCCTATTACTAAGAGTCCACTGACTGTCTCATCATAAATGCTGAAAGTAAGTTGAAATTTTCACAGATGATGTATTTCTGTTGCCGCTATAACAAAGCAGAATAAAAAAATATTGGACTCCCAAACAACAGATATGATTTTTTTTCCGTTTTTATAGATAACGATATGGAACCCTTCGTGGCCAGCTCGCACTTGGCCAGTTTTTTGAGTTTTGTATCATTCATATTATTTAAAAAAAATTCTGACGCTAAAGTTAGACTGGGCTACTGTTTCAATTTGAGCCCGGCTGACAGAACTAAGTCTTGTATCATGGTCATTTATATAAGTTCATATAGATCCATAGTAATGGACAATCAGTTTAGACCATATACAAGGCTAGCAGATATAATGCAAAGTAACTAAATTAATTTATAACCGTAAATATAATAAATCTCAACTCGGAAATGTTTTATGACGCTTAGCTATATGGTTACGTAAAGGGTTATCGCGGTAACCTTTTAGCGAAATATGCTCATATTAAATGGTATGCATTTATAAACGTGATATGGCAATGATACTATTTCTTGAACTTAAAGACAGTGATACCCATAACCAGGGCAGGCAAATTATAAAATAAAGAAAAATTGCTAAAATTATATTCACTTTTTACTCTTCCTAAAAAAAAACACTTTTAATAAAATATAAAGTTGGTAATTAGTCTAACATTATTAAACGATGAACAATGACGGGAGACAAAACTCTAGACGAATACCACACTCAACTTTAAGAATGTCATTTTTATTTAATCGAGAATTCACCCTTAGATTTGAACCTAAATATGATTTCAGCGTCTCTAACCACTGCCTGACAAGTGCTAAATAATATGTACTCGTGCAATTTAGTGAAGTAATTATTTTGTGGGCAATGTAATACTTTTTTTCAATAAACCCTAGAAAACATTCAACATGTATTTAATAAAATGTCTCGATATTTAAGTATCACACAAAATAACAATTTGCCTTTTTGTACTTAATGAATTTACAATGACAGAATTGTATTAATATATATCATCATTATTCAAATAATAAGAAGAAGAGCGTTCCAACTTTTTAATTATGCGATGTTTACTATATAAATATAGATGTCATATTCTTTAACTTTTAGTTATATATCGGAGATTTGGGTTTAATCTCTAACAAGCGATTTTGTACTAATACGTTTTTATTCCAATTCCGGTTTGTTTTGAATATTTTTTTTACAATAAAATATGTGAAACCTAAAAACTTTTTAATCCTTTGCAACAACTGTTGTTAACAAACATTGTTTAGGAAGTAACTAAAGGTTATGTATCAAATAAAATTATAAAATCGTTATAGGGCTGACAATTTTTCCGCTCCTAAGATTCCCGTTAATCTCTTTTGCATGTAGGCACTACGTGTAATGCATTTCTTTCTATATAGTGTGTTTCAATCAAGTCTGGTAAAAGTACTAAAGTAACAGTCAATACATGTCCCACTGCTGGGCAAAGGCCTCCTCTGTACAGAGGGTATCAGGGCATAGTCCATCACGCGGCCCCACTGCGGATTGGCGGACTTCTCATATTTTCGAAATATATATTTTTTTGTTATTATTTCGAAAATATGCAGGTTTCCTCACGATGTTTTCCTTCACCGCGGAGCACGTGATAAGTCAGCACTTAAAGTTAAAAACTTCATTGGTGCCGGCACCGGGGATCGAACTCAGGTTGCTCGAGTATATTGAACTAAAGGCGAGCGCCCGGACACTGAGCTATCACGGCTCACGTCTGGTTAATCGTTTAAATAGGGCTCCTAGAAAAAATCTAACGTTAAATATTGAAAGTATCATAAACAGGACACCGGCCCTACATTGCTATATTTAGATCGACAAGAATTTTAAGAAATATTTGTTACAACCTGCATAATGGGATTGACAACCCTGAGCTACCCCGCCTAACAGAAACGTGCCAACCCTAGCGGCACCGGGCGCATCACACAATTACGTTACACTGCATATATCACGGCGTGTAATAGATACAATTGAGTATGACGCAATCGAAAAAACGTCAAAGGGATAATAAGCAGGAAGGGCTTGCCCTTCCTTCCGGACTCCCGCCCCGCTGATTGCGGCTCGGACGGCCGTGTGTCGTGACCGCCTTGAATATAGAACGGCATTACGGTTACGGGCCGCCTGTGACACCGCAGCGTCACCTCATAAGGTTACGCTGCGGTTAAGGTTAATGCACTAATTCCAACTGTAGTTTTGAAAGTAGAATACTCCAATTAACTTTTATGAAGACGTTTTGACTTAATTTTTGCCGTGTCTACCTCTATTAGAACCTTCTACAGTTTCTACTAGCAAGCTGGATTAACTACTAATTTTCTGTTTGAAAAAGAATAAGGGGTTCCGCGCAAAATATTTAAAACTTATGTAATTGTGAATAAAATCCTATTTCATTGTTAGTTTTCCTGGCAAATGTTTGATTTTGTAAGAAATACCTTTCGGTCTTTTGGCATCAAAATTAATTTAAAGCCCATACCAAAAAAGAGGCCATTTTCTTCTTCTATCTGTCACTTAATAAAAGCAGCTGATTGAAACTGAATCACCTATTGAGAGTTTAGGTCATGAAATAAAAATCCCGTTTACATACTAGCATCTAGTTGTTTGATGAGTGAAGAATATTTAATAAGTAATATTTAATTCTTTAGATGTTATAAATTATATGAGACTCCCAAAATTATATGTTATATTCATTCGTTTTTTATATTTGATTATAAAATAATGAGCGATTTAAAAATTACGGTGTGATAGTGTCTCGGACATCTGTAAAGGTACCAGCCGTTGTCTGGGATTTGGGTCAAGTGTAGCACGCCTGGAGGATACCCCTCAAGACGTCGGCTAGCACGTTACGCATACCATATCGAAGCTCTCACCGGGGCAAGCTCGTCTAATTCTCTTTTAAAATGGAATAAAACTGTATACACAACTTCATTGTACACGGGTTTTCCGGGGTCTCTTAGAAATAGAAAAATTTTTGGAGCGCAATATGTTGTAGGTTGCTATAATTTATGATCCAACTCCATTCCGAACCAATTCTATTATTTTTGTACTAGAGTGTACCAGCACACTTGTAGTGTTCGTTACACTAATAGTCTACACTATTTTACAAATCTCTGTACATTAAGTATAATTTTACCAATTTCAAATTAGAAACCAAGGCGTTTTGATTCTCTCTACGTCTTTACAATGTTTTATATTTTTTTGGTTTTTTTATGGTTACTGCTTTAAAAAGGCAAGATTAAAGAGGATTAAAGACGCATCGTGAATTTTAATGTTGCCAATGTAATAAAATACAGTCTAAAATGATTTATTTAAATAGATAGTAAAATACACACACGTCACGGTCACAATATTTTATTAATAAGAAAAGCTTTCAATCTCAGTTTATAATCGTAAATAAAGGCTTTTTTAAAATCTTTTATTCGTGTCTTAACTTTCACAACATCCTTACTAATATTATAAAGGCGAAAGTTTGTATGTATGGATGGATGTTTGTTACCCTTTCACGCAAAAACTATTGAATGGATTTTAATGAAACTTTACAATAATATATCTTATACATCATAATAAGACATAGGCTATAATTTATATAAATATTTCATGTATATCTGTCTCTCTGTCTGAATGTTACGCCTTCAGCCTATTCTACGCAGACGTAGTCGCGGGCAGTAGCTAGTTTCCAATATAATTAACATGTTTTATCAACAGCTAGAATATTACAACCTTCAATAAAATATGGTCTTTTTCATTGCCATATTAGTGTTTATTCGTAGTATGAGTAAAAGGGAAATTTGGATTTTTGCTGTTGTCAAAAATAATTTACAAATAGTGTCAATAAAATTTAACTTTGACTCACTTTAAGACTGTATTTATCTGTACGTTATACCTTTGTCTGTATTGTGAAAAAAATGGTGTAGATATCGCGTGACACGCCGATCAACAAGCTAAGAGGGAAATTGTGCGAGCACGCGATAGCAGTTTAAATAATTTGTACCGAAATTACGCGGAATTCGGTCGGAATTCGCTCAATTCCCTTAACGACCGCCCGTTTGTGTTACGGCATTCGTTAACCGCAATCATCCGATAGCGGAGCACCTCATAATGCTTTTCGGACGTCGCAGCATTAATACGATTACTCCATCGCGAGGAAAACTCAGTGAACCAAAGTAAATGGTTCTTTTAAACCAAGTTAAATTAGAATAGTCATGCTACATATTATACCCATAGTTTAAATATTAGTAAAGTTACAATTGTCACGCGGAATAAATGTAACGTTATAAAAGATCGTGATTACCACTCGCCACACACGTAGTCCAAGGTCAGAGACCCTTACTACAAATCTATAAGGTTATGTTAAATCCTAATGCGACCAGCCGTAACAGAAGTATATCTAGTTAACATTACAACATATAGTAGTTATAGTTAAAAGCTTCATGTATTCGAAGAATTAAGTTTGTAACGCATGAAACAATGTTTATGGATTTATCGCGTTTTCCGACGTTTCCCGTGACCATGAACGCTGTAAAGGGTTCGAAACGTCGGGAATTAAATTTGTAAACATAGTTTCATTTAGTAATATGTAATCGCGTTAATACAATAAATTATTATATACGTTGTATTTAAACGTATACGTGTTATTTTAAAAACAAATTAAGCACCGGCGCGATTCTCACTGCGTTTAACAATAGAACAACACAGTCGTAGATGTTACGACCCGGCCTTGATGTCCCGTACAATCCCTCGTTTTGTTAATGTACGCATGTCCTGATATGACTCTACTTAGGTTGGGTCTATCGAGCTCTGACCTCGATGCAGCTTTATATAGTCTACGGACTGAAAGCTCATACATTAATCAAGAAATAGAATTTTAAAAAAGGATAAAAATAAAACCTGTTTATTTGAAATCGCATTAATCAAACGAACTATGCAAGACTAATAATAGACGGCTTAAGCTTAAGTGCTGCAACGATGTTTTTGGAGCCTGATAATAAATAGATAAAATTAATAAATATTTAGGACACATTTTTTCACAACGTTTTCCAGTCCTAAACTAAGCAACGCTTGTACTATGGGTACTTTTAGATAACTGATAAACACTTATACACTAGAAAAACACTATGTTCATCACGCAATATTTTTCCAGTAGTGGGGATCGAACCCACACCCTCTGGCGCAGGAGGCAGCTACACTACCCCGTACGCCGTTCGGGCCTTATATCAGTAGATTTTTCATGTGCTACGACTCCCTTCGATTAATAGCTTCCACTAGAGGAACCTGTAAAAGGCCAACCTTATGTACGAGAATAGTGTATTTACGCTCACCGCTCAAAATGATGTGCCAACCTTATGTCCGAGAATAGTGTGTTCACGCTCACCGCTCAAAATGATGTGCCAACCTTATGTCCGAGAATAGTGTGTTCACGCTCACCGCTCAAAATGTTGGGCCAACCTTATGTCCGAGAATAGTGTATTTACGCTTACCGCTCAAAATGTTGTCTCTGATGATCTGGACGTGGTTGTCTCTGTCTGGGCGCGTGTGCTCGTGCCAGAAGCCGACCACGTGGCCCAGTTCGTGGACGACGATGCCGAACTTGTCGCAGTTCTTGCCGATGGATATCGCCTGCGCCCCGCTGCCACGCTTTCCGACGAACGAACAGCACCTGTGGTTTTTCGTTGACGTAACCAGTAGGAGACTAACGCCCGGTTTCTGAATTACAGATCAACGTAGAAACTAACCAATCAGTTATTAAATGGCTTGTTGAATGTCATTCGAGTTGCCAGAACGATGGTTAAACACCTTGATTTCAAGTCAATTTAAAAAAAAAAAAAAACAATTTGATTTGAAAACAAAGTGTTTAAACATCCGTTTTGTTTTAACTTTGAAAGGGACCTTCGGTTACAATTGACTGCAAACGCAAAATGTAAAGTTGCATTCACGTCATTCATTTTAATTTTTCTTCCCTTTAATCTATTCTTAACCCACCCGCAAGGTCTCTCGGTGAACACTATGTAGTCCTTGTGCAAAAGGGGGTCTCGCTCTACGAACTTCACGCAGGTGAAGTTCTCCCAGTGCCGCATCGCCTGCTTGAACAAGGACTTATGAGCTCCGCTGAAGTTGCCGTCGATCTCGTACGGTATCACGCCGTTCTCCCAGATCCTCTCCTTGCGGTTGGTGGCCGCCCTGGTGGAGCGGTGTCGGTGGCGCGGCTCCTGAGAGTGTGATAACAATGTTAGCGTTACGTGTACGTATTTTTAACCGACTTCAAAAAAGGAGGAGGTTTCTTTCTTGTCGACGTTTGGATTTACAATATTTATAGATGGTTCATAATGCGTTGATACGGTTAATTTCGTTGATATAATTTAATTTAAAACACTATATTGACATATTTGTTTTTAACCCATCGGCTTTTATAATAAAAACAATTATTTTCTTTTGTGAATAAATATTTGTTACACATATATAACACTGAAAACACACTATATTCATACCAATACTTTTCCAGTAGTGGGAATCGAATCCACACCCTCTGTCGCAAGAGGCAGGTTCACTACCCACGTCGCCAAACAACGAACAAATTTGTATGTTTTTTTCGAAACGAAGATACTCGTAGAAAACAAACGATGGCTTATTGACAACGGGAATGCTCTACATACCTCCGTGTGGTTATAAAACTGGCTCTCGGCGGCTTCCAAGTCGACATCGGAGTCGCGAAAAAACCAGTCCTTGAATTGTTGAGTTTCCGTCCCACTCTTGTCCTCCTTAGGCGGCGGTCTGACTTCGAACCTCTCCTCGAATTCGTGTTCCGGTATTTCGTGTTTATTATGTTTAATTTCCCTCTCGTCGTACTTTTTTTGGTGCCGAAAAAACTTTTTCCTTGCGTGATGCGATTGGACAGCGTCCTCTTCGGACCGTTTGAGAGTATTTTTTCCGCTCCTCTCTCCCGATTGAATGTTCCTGAGCCTAATAAATGTGAGAGGTTTGTCGTTTACATATTTAATATAGCATGTTGTGTACGCATAGTTTTGGCTGACAGTATCTAATTGTTTACCTTATTTAACTTTATTCTGATGTGTATTACTGTTTGCTGTTTCATGTACCGAATAAAATAAAAATAAAATAAAATAAATAAATAACCATTTCTTTTACTGACGAAACGAATTCAAATATCTCGTTCTGTATTCATTTTATAATTGATTTTCAGGAGTTCCCGAAGTATCTCAGGAGCCCAAGATGCAATACCAATGAAATTAATATGGGACTACATGGGAGGCACCAGCTTTCAAAACAGAAAAGAATCATCAAAATCGGTTCACTGCGTAAAAAGTTCTAACTAAAAACAACTACTACATAAAAAAATACAGTCTAATTGAAAACCTCCTTTTGGAGTCGGTAAATAAATGCCATATTCAATCTGCGGTTTTTATCTCATTATTGCTTAGCAACTGCCCCTACCGAGTTATCTTGTCACCTTGTATTTAATCGTGTTATGCCTATTCTTATAAATAACAAGACTACTTGTTATTTATAAGAATAGGCATGTTCAGGACATTATACATTGATATAATTAAGAATTATTATAATACAGTAGTCGGGTATATCGAAAATTATGGATTTTATATGTTTTAGAAAATGTAAGACGAAATAGAATAAATGAAAATAAGGAAAATTTGTGTGTGTAATTATTTATGCATGTAAGAAGTTATTTTTCTTTAGCGTAACTAAAGAAAAATAAGTAAATTTTCCTTGTATATAATATTACATATTATATATTATATGTAATATTACGTCCTTACAACACAGGATAATGTTATCCTTAAGTAAGGGCAATGTTTTTAACTCAAAAAAAAAGAAATATCTACTTTGTGCTTGTGTCAGCTTGTGAAAAGAAATTAAATGCAATTGATAACGGTTATAACTTGGAATTACAGTTAAATATCAAAAAGTTGTTATTGCTTGCCATGCATGGTAATACCGTAAAGTTGGTTGCAGAGCAACATGTCGTTTTATGGGGATCGGTGTGCGCGCGAATCGTAAAAATTTACTGTCATAATTTTTTTCTAAACATAGCAAAGACTTCTACTTCAACAAGTTAAAAGATTTTCTATTGTATTTATTCGCCTTTATCATTTTAGTTTTTACTAGAAATTATACGCGCAAGTTCAATTTATATTACGGGCATAATTATTTATGAAAAATCGAATCGTAACATGCTAGCTTTTGCATGCTTTATGATAGATTTTGTTAGATTGATATTTTTACGAGATCGCACATATTTAATTAAAACTTTATTAGCAAATAAGCGGTGCGGCAACTTTTCACATAAAAAAGTTGTTATTGTGATTATGGTATAGAATGGACATTTGCAACACTTGTACTGATGCAAATGTGTTGCCATCATTTAATAAAGGAGCCCGAACTACCTCATTCACCAGACGAAACGCAGAAGTGTAACACTTCCACTTCACGCCGGTCTTCTGTGAGGATACAGGATGGTACTTAACCGGACGGACCTGCCCATTCGTGCAACAGCCGAAGCTGTTTTGTGGCCCTACCACAGATTATCACTGATAAAAATAATAAAATCTACATTTAATTTTGAAGGTGGTATAACTCTCCTCATTGTGTAACTTTGTGTCTAAGCCTTACCGTCTGCCATTTCCATGCCTTCTTCTTCTGCGACGTCTTCGAATTTCCGTCTCATCCAATAGGCTCTGAAGACTTTCGGTTGGTTTCATTAAGTCGTTCGATTCATACACTTTTTCCATAAAAACTTTATCCGTTTTATTCGCAATAAATTTATCTCTATAATCTCTGCCTTCATCCCGATCATTTGTCGGTATGACGCCATTTGTTGGCGCTGGAGCCACTGTTACGTTCTCCGGCAGATCTTTCATTTTAATATTATTGTTAGAGTCACCCGTTATCTCTCGGCTGTTGCTTTGTATTTTGTTCGTTCCCTCGTCCATTCTGTACGATACGTTTGACAATTGAATGCTGGGGAAAAAGTCTTCTAGGTTTAGAATATTGTCAGTTGATACGTTAACGACTAAAACGCCGTCTTGCTCTAAGCTCTCCGATTCCGTTAGGTTATCGGTGATAACAGTCTGATTAGGAGGAACTGATTTATTTTGATTAGTTACGCTAGTATCATTTTCGATGACATCTTCGGGTAGCAATTTTCCGTTCTTCATTAGTAATGCCTTATCTAAGCCAGCTGGTAACACCTATAACATATGCATTTTATTATACATCTTTTTCTCAAAACAATATACTTTTAATAGCATTTAACTTATGATAATGGAGCTATGGCAAATTCTTTACAGTTTCATTTTTACGTATTTGTATAATTAGTAATATAAATAAAGCAAAGAAAAAACCAGTATATTGTTACATTTGAATAAGGATGAAAAAATATAGAAAAAAGTACAGTTTAAAAAAATATCGTACTATTAACAATTACAATATTTGAAGAAAAAAAACTACCTTTGTGTGTAAGGAGGCGTCATTATACTTTTTTGGTTTTTCCTGCGTTAAAGGCACAGGTTGCTTGGTTCTTTTTCTTAAAATATCTGGCAGGCCTTCCTCTTCAACTTGTAATCCTTCTAGAAGCACCTCCTTTTTGAGTCGTTCTACTTCCTCTTGTAAGGACTTATTTATCTTTGACGTCGATGGAGCTGTGTTAGATTTCTTGTAGTAGTCATCGGATATCGCTATGTCGCCCTGAAAGTTATCTATAAGAAAAAATATTACACATAAATTATCAGTTATTAATGTGACGTAAAACGACACTTTTTTTTTTAAATATAGGTAATCACTTCGTCTATAAAATAAGTATGCCTCAAAGCATTCGAAACATTAAAGCATTCGAAAATCAGTTTAAATAAAACGCTATAAAATCACAAAACATAGTTTCATCATAATATTAAACCTACAGGTGTATTATTAAACAGGGTAGGTTACAGTATGTTATAAAATTACAAACTGCAAGCAGTCTTTGCTGTCTGAAGGGACCAGCATAACCCGTAGTTCAGCGGCCTTGCGTTATACCGGCATAAAGTGGAAACATTTAATATCAAACTAATAAATGTGAGAACAGTTATCTATTGTACTATGTAACAAATAATTTGTATTTATCTTAATTGGCTGTATCTTACGTTAGTTGTCCAATAAACAAAATAAAAAAATAGTAAGTCACGAATGTTTGGCGAAGCACTTTCAAAATATCTCCTGTTTTGGATATGCATGAAACTTATAGTTAGTGATTTTTTTTCTATCATCTTTCATAAAAAGGTATATTTCTTTTTCATCAGCGGTAAATATTTAGGAAGTTATATATGTAAGTGCAACGTGAACTATTTAAAGTACATTATGGTGAATACGGGTACCAGTAAAGGGCATTTGTTGGTACGTTATATAATCTGCATTTCTACCTTTAAAGTGATGCTTTCTTATTGTGAAATGCGTTTCTAATATTTTTTGAAGAAATTTTATATAGAAATTTTATTTGTCACTATTTAAGTATTTAAAATGTGTAGACAAAGGTAGCGCTCAATTTTGAGGAGTAGCACTTAGATTTGATTTTAATTTTTAAAATTAATTTACTTAAGTTTTTTTTAAAGACGTAAAGTTAGCGTCGACTTAAACTTTTTGTTAATTTTTCAATACTAGTTATAACATGCTTGCTTCGTCATATCTACAAACTATGCACAATGACCCTACGCAGACTATTCAATTATTTATCCGTAATTTTTAAAGATATTTTCAATACATTTTTATGTGAGTATGGAGCGAGCGAGCAGAGCGGTTCTACTAAAGATAGGTGAATATCACCGCTTATTGACATCTACAAACAGCTGACGGATGGCAGATGCGTACCTCACTCACCAGGCGAAACACTAAAGTGTAAAAACTTCCCGGTCTTCTACGAGCAACAGTCGAAGTTGCTGGGTGGCCTTACCGTAGTAGAACAAATCTTTTAGTATATCTAATATAATATAGGAATAAATAAAGTAAGTGAGAAAAGGCCTCTTATGTACAGAAGGTATTAGGGTATAGTCCAGCACGCGGCCGCACTGTGGATTGGCAGATTTCATATACATTCGAAATATTTTTTTTTGTTATTATTTCGAAAATAGGTTTCCTTACAATGTTTTCCTTCACCGCTGAGCACGTGATTCATCATTTTAAATTAAAATTTCGATTATTGTCGGAACCGGGGATCGAACTAAAGTTGCTCGAGCATATTGAATTAAAAGCGAGCGCCCGGACAATGAGCCAGCACGCCTTGTAAAGAATGAATCGAATACTTAATAAAAACTATTATAAGTAAAAATAGTAATTTTCTAATACAGTTTTCGAGCCCGACGATAAATGGCCGATTGCCACCGGCCATTAAGAGCGCGTACATCTGCCGCAACCATAAAACGAAACGAGCGGGCCGTTGCCACAGCTGCGGTCTAACGCTGGCTGCCAATTAATTAATCGTTCATGCACGCTTACACGACGGGAATTGGACAGGCCGGCTTACGATAGCCCAAGGCTCCATGAATATTCATAGGCAGGTGGCGTACCACAATTGATTCCGATAATGGAAAGCGTTTCAGGCGTTCCGCGCTTTTTTCAGTTTAAATATCGAACTTCTTAGCTTAGGTATAAATAAGCTAACTTCTTATGCTATAAGAGAAATTTTGTTGTACTTATGATGAAAGAAGTATGGCTTAATTGTTATAATTTTTATACATTTTTATAATTCACTATAAATAAATTGTACTGAATTGAAATATAAATCGAGTAATACTCGATATATCCAAATGTAGTTTTTTTTTAATTTCGCTGTATTTGTTCCTTGAGAGAATACTACTCGTAATATGGGCTAAATATTTAGTTAATTAATTAATACTTGAAAATTTATGTAAAAAATAATGTTTGAAGCAAATAAAATTATATACATATAGTGGTATATCATTTTAAATTATATGTTGAAGCATAATGTGAATTATGATTAACATATAACGATTATAACATCGAGTATCTCACACATTCGCCCAAATCGGCTATATTAAGAATATAGAATATATAAGAAATTAGAATTACAGCGGTGGTTCTAATATAATAGGGGAATAGATGAGACAAATCATTGAAGTGAGATTTATCACTCTATAGCGATATAGCTTCTTCATCAGAACGAATTATCAAAGGTCCTATTTGAATATAGGTTATGACTGTTATGTTGTATGAGAGACAGAGGTTGCAAATAGTCTATTTGGTTTAATGAATTTTATAAAATATTTATATTTACATAAGCTGGCGTAAAATGGGAGTATAATACTTTCGCGTTTCATCTGGTTATAGAGGAATCCGGAACACAATTTTCAATTGGTTGTCAACGTATCTGCAACCCTCGGATGTAGCATGGGCGGCGGTATTCATTTAACATAAGGTGAATAGATTGCTCGCTTGGCAACTTTTCACATTAAAAAAAATTAAATATTTAACATATTATATATTATATATATTATACGGTTTATGATAGATTATCATCTATCATAAACCGTATAATAACACACCCCGTTTTTTTTTTTTCAGATTATTCTTTCGAGGTCCTCGTTTTCTTAGCATTTTGTTTGTGACTCGATCATGGTCATTAACATCGTAAATATTATAGATTTATGCGTATCCTACAATTATCAGACTTTAACCATAAGGGGTCGTAAATGGTACTTAGTGCGTATGTTATGGAGTTCCTCAAGTTTTATCATCATCATGTAAGGACTGCAAAAAAGTTTCGAACAAACAAAATTCATTTTATTTGAACTAACTTTTCTGTCCAAAGTGTTCTTAAAATAAAGGACTCGTATGTGTTGACAAACTAAATAATAATAGTGTAACGTTTTAATTTATGGAGATTTAATTAAGGGTATATTTAATAAAAGATTTAGTAACAGTTAAAATGTTGTATTTATTCCTTTAGTTTATAGTTACAATCCCTGGACTAGCTCAGATACAATAGTGTACAAAATATAGAATCACAAATATAGTTGGGCGCCTTGTCTGTTAGGAACAGACTGTTGTAATAATTAGAATTAAGTATCTCAGGGAGTCGTGAGTACATAGGACCTACACATTACTTTGTGCAACCATAAAAAGGTTAGATAATTATATTAATTTCAGATGGTAAAACTTATGCAATTAAGTTTAAGTACAGAGTCCATTCAGGAAGTTATTTTAAATCTACTTCACCGCAGACACCTGCCCTGTGGACACAAGTCAGCGTTCAGCTCAGAACCAGCAGAGGAAATCAGACCAAGTGTAGTGTGTGCAACCACACTGTTGGGGAGTAAGTAGGAGACCTCCTGCCAACAAACAATACATTGTAGAACAGACAAAGGCAGGGATATGAATCTACCTACACTTATAAAGATGTGAAACACTTACCAACTGGAGGTAAAAACACAATTTAACCGACCAGCGGCTCAGACCAGCTTGCCAGCCACCTATGCCTTCAGCATCTACCTGTGATATTCGAAAAACCACCCTTAGAAACACAAGACAATAAAATTCTCAACCTACCTTCACATGAGATTCTAAATATATTCTCAATGCAAGTCTTTTACAATTTTAGCAGGAATCCAGTGAAAATTACCACGAGGGATAACAAATCCAGCCCAGAGTTTTGCAGACAGCAATCACAAATAATACGACCAGGAACGTGTTCTGATTTCAAACTCTAGCCATTCGCTGTAAAAGAGCGAATTGATAAGAAAACGAAATACGTAAACAAAACAACCACTGGCATGAACGAAACCAAGCAATTACTTACCAGTCGAAGATAATGGATCCACAAAAACGAATTTATACAATGTCAATTCGAACCGGTGGCAGTCTCAAGTGACAAGAAAGAAGTAAGAAATGAACTTAACTTTTACATTCGTCCTTTCGAACAGGCAAGGTCCATATAACATGCAGCCTAGTCTTCAGACAAACAACATTTTCGACAAAGTGATGTAATCACTTTTTACAATAGTAATATACCTACACATACGTAGAAATTTTGAGTTCTTTGAACTTCCTTACTGTATGTGCACAAATTAAAAATAAATTGAACGTGCTCAAATGACAAATCAGTTTATTATGAGAGGTCGGACCGATTACGATGGACATTTGCCATTTTATGTGCACTCAAACGACTTCGTCAAACGTTCGTGTAGTCATCCGAGAGTTGAGTTACATTTATACAAATTGGACGTTTGACAAGTGCTGAATTGCTGACGCCTACGCAAGTAGTGATGGCGAGATGAAGACCTTGATTGTGGTCTCGACAAATATAACTAATCACCCAAAAATATTTAAGGGACGTTATGAGCTTAGACCTTTAAAAAGATTAAGTTAATATTGTTATGTATATCTATTTTCTTGTTATGTGAAAAACTGACAAACGGCAACAAAGTAATCACTGCCAAGTGTTTACTTTGTTGTATTATCAACCTTAGTAAAATTGGACCTAGTCTTAGTTACTTCACTCAACAGACGAAATACAAAGCTGTATAAAATTAAATTATGCAACGTTCTCTTGAGATTATGGTACTTTTCTGGACGAGCTAAGTTAATATTGTTATGTATATCTATTTCTTGTTATGTGAAAAACTGACAAACGGCAACAAAGTAATCACTGCCAAGTGTTTACTTTGTTGTATTATCAACCTTAGTAAAATTGGACCTAGTCTTAGTTACT